CAATTGTTTTCCCCCAAATGGTTTGCACCTGTGTGTGCCACAAAGAACTTATGCAGTCTGCACAGTATCCTGCGTTCTGCCTTGATTAATACTCCATGCCCAGATGCTAACCTTTGTGTGATGTCTATTGTGCCTGGTTAGATATTCCACAGTGTCCCTAATCTAGGACATTATTCTCCTCGAGTATGTTTTTTTAACACCTTTCTTTATTTCTGTTCAATTAAGGTGAAATGGGTGCTTTCCTTCCTATTTACCCATCAAATAGGCATCAGTCCTCCCGCACCAATACACACTTCAAGCTGCTTTATTGTGTGCTTCTGGCAGATTTCCCTCTTGAAGTTGAATAGCCTCCATTAATTCCAAATATTTCTCTCTTTTTCTTTCCCTCTCACATTCAGGCAAATACAGGGTCCCTATGAATGTCCTTTTCGTTGTGAATTCATGATTATTTCTGCTCACTTATGGTATCGGAGTTGTTGCACATGATCCCATTTTCAATACTATATTCACCAGGAAACATTTCGGGGCAGACACACTGCTTCGTTTCCAACCAGTGCATGTCCCATAACTTAAACCCTATAACTTTTTAATCCCGCAAATGTTTGTCCTGCACTTCTTGGGCTGTAGCCACCTCCAGATGACATTAATACAATAGCACTGGGGAAGCATCGCACAACAACTAATGAAGAAGAAAGCTGTGTGGACGGTTGAGAATAAATCCATTCACTAGCACACTATTATTGCAACGGTGTCAGGTTGCAGAATACATCTGCAAACAAACGACCAGTCTGGAGGAACCCAAAAGGTTATTAGTTTATTCTGTTTTTAATCTGTTGGGAGCCGCCAACAGTGGCTGGGGAAACCCAGCCAGATGGGCGGGGTATACATTTATATTATATTATAATATAATATTATAATCTACTACTACTATAGCACATCAGTATAATGTGCTGTGATATATAATATGCACAGCTGTCTGCATATTAACCATGATTTCCAAAGGAAGAAGAACAAAAAGCACCCAGGAGCAGGAACATAGTTTAAGGTTGCTTCGTATGTTCTCAAGTCGGTCCACTGTTACATCAAGCTTAGTAATGTCTACACGGACTGGCAGCAGCTCTCCAGGTTTTCAGACTGGGGCTGGTCTTAGCCTTACTTGGAGATGCTAGGGCTTTAACCTGGGGCCTGAGCAGGAAGCACACGGGGGAAGGAAATGCGGAGCAAGGGAAGGAAATCAAGGAACGGCAATGGCCAAACCGTTGTGAAAAATTGTAGTGGAGGGGCATCAGTGCACACATACCTCTATTATCAGGCAACCTTGATCCTACAGATTAGTTGAAGCGCAGCTGCGCCAATAGCAAGAACTGACAATAATAAATTGGTGATAATATGCAGCAGTCCTGTGCATGTAAAACAGACCTTTCTCCTCTCATAGTGTCAACAACAGCTATAGTGCTGCTTTGAACAGGGAAGCATGGCTGTCACGCATGGTGTGAGCGGTGCACCTCCTGACGCCCAAGAAAAGGCCACTTCTCCAGTCAAAAAAGGTAAGACATGAGTGGTGTTTTTTTTCTGGTTCTGCCTCAGTTTACTCCATCCTCCAGTTCAGGCTCAAGAATGGCAGGATGGAGAATTCCCTCTCCAGAGGATCAAGGGGTTTAGCGGCACAATCTGGGGAATTCAAGATAAGGGCCATTTTGAGAATGGCCACCAAATGCACACTGAACAAGGAGTTGAGGCCAGTACTTGCTCCTGAAGACCATCCCTGTATAGGAAATCCGAAATTTAAAACTTTGTTTGGATTAATAAGACAGGGTTTACTGTACCCAGCAAAAAAGACCCTCCCCTTCAAAGTCAATAAGTCACAGGATTAATTTCATTAGACACATCTACTCCCAGCACAATGCTATTCTAACAAATTCATAAATTTGCCTGGGTGAAAGCTTCACGGGCGACAGATTACCTTTAAACTCGCATATTCTTGAAATGTATTAAATCCATCTGTCTCAATTAGCATATTTATCAATTAATTACAGCGGGAGTGTTTATTCTGGGAGCAGTGAGGCTTGCCATCTGAATAGCAGGGCAGTCTTTTGTTTTTACGAGACCAGAATGTGCAGTCGGAGAGGGCTTTTTTTGGGGTCGTATTTAAAGTTTCCCCTTTCATCACGTTCCCCAGAAGGCTGAGGAGCTTAATAGAAGGATTAAGACTTGCACCATGCTTTTATAAATACATTGACTTCAGTGTAAATCAAAAAGCAGAGAGGTCACTTGATTATGCCTAAGGATGACCCTTTAAACCTCACACACTAATTCAGGGTCGTAACTTGGTATGCCTTGCACTGCAAACACACAGCATGTGTGGTAGGCAGTGGCTGGCAGGCTGCTAGTCAGGCGGTTTAAGTAGGGTGTCATCTGCAGCTCATACTGAGTCAGGGAGGGGTTGAGTCAGGGAGCATCCATGACCACACAGTCCTGCTGAAAGCCAAGCAGTGCTCCCAAATCTGATCCATCGTGTCCTTCTCATTCCAGTATCCTGTAGGCTAACAGCACCCACCATGTGCATTGGCATTCGTACCTTTACTAACCCAAACACCCCCCACCCCACCCCAAGCTTCTTACCCATCCACCTTGTCACTTCTGTTGCCCCCTTCATTAGTCCAGCCCATTCATATTACAGTGGTACCTTGGGTTACATACGCTTCAGGTTACATACACTTCAGGTTACAGACTCCGCTAACCCAGAAATAATACCTCAGGTTAAGAACTTTGCTTCAGGATGAGAACAGAAATCGTGCTCCGGCGGCATGGCAGCAGCAGGAGGCCCCATTAGCTAAAGTGGTGCTTCAGGTTAAGAACAGTTTCAGGTTGAGAACGGAGCTCCAGAACGAATTAAGTACTTAACCCGAGGTACCACTGTATTGGTCTTCACCACCAACTACTGTATCTCATTCCTTTCATTCCTCTCTATGTATGCAATCATTACACCACTAGAATTCCACTCTCCACTTTTCCTGTGGTCTGCCCCCAAAGTGCCCTTGGCCTGTGCAACATGAATCTACCACTCCCACCCCACAAGTTCTTTTAGTTTTGCTGATGCCTTTCACACCAGAGGAATGCAAAAAAAAAGCCTTCTCCATCACCCACAGCACACGAAGATAGATAGATACATAGAGAGAGACAGACAAACAAACACACCCTGTCAATTCCATTCAAGCTATTTTCACAGCAGGTCGTAGGCATGTGGAAGGTAGGAGAGCCAATATTGAAGCAGCTCTTGCGCCATCAAATTGTGTGTGTGTGAATGTGTGTATATAATTCCCACAGACACACGTTTCTACAGATGTGCCACGATGAAAAGTTAATCCACACAACTGGAGGTGGCTTCCTTTTCTCCCTCCTCTGCACCTCTAGAATCTAATCTTTGCACCCTTCCTCTTGGCTGCTATTTACCTGGGAGAGAGATGGCAGACATGACTGAGGGATGTGGAACAACTGTTAACTCTATGCAGCCTGTCCATTTGTTTAATTGGTACAGTTCCATCCCAGCTTTTCCTTCAAGGAGCTCAAGGTGGGTCCCACGCCAAGCACACCCCCCCCAACACAAGCCTCTCCTTCGCTCCAACTATTAACCCCTTTGCTGCCGACATGCCTCGGTTTTCTCCCCAGCTCCGGCTGCCTCCGTCCGCTTCCCTTTTGCTCTCCCCCCTCCCACCCCGCGTCGAGTCTTACCCGCGTCCTCCTCGTCGAAGCTGTTCATGCAGGGGAAGTAAATGGCCAGGGCCTCGAAGGACGCGGAGAGGCTGAGACGGCTCTGCGATCGCTCCATGAAAAGCCCCGAGCCCGGGGCGCCGCCGGGGGCTTCGGCCGCAGCCTGCGGCTTGGCCAGCTTCGACGCCCCATTCTTCACTCGGAGCACAGCCCGCGGCGTCTTGGCTACTGTGGGGGGGCCTTAGGGAGGTGAGAAATGGGCTGACCGGGGTGGGGGGTGGTGGGGGATATGAGGCGGGGGGTGGGTGAGAGGGGGGGTGACAGAAGAACGGACTTGAACCCACCCGCGGCGGAGATGGGAGGGAGGGAGGGAGAAAGAGAAGGTGATGCTGAGGAGGGAACGCGCAGGGAAGATGCTAGTGGTACCCAGGAAACTGAGCGCCCGGGAGAAAGGATGCTGGCGGTACCCGAGAGAGGAAGGATGCAGGCAGTACCCGAGAGAGGAAGGATGCTGGCGGTACCCGAGAGAGAAAGGATGCTGGTGGTACCCAAGAGAGGAAGGATGCTGGTGGTACCCAAAGGGAGGATGGATGCGGTGAGGAAGGATGCTGCCAAGAGAGCTGCTTCTTCCAGCTGCCGCTCTTCTCCCGAGGAGAGATGCTGCAGCTGCTCTTTTGCCCCCAGGGAGGAGAGGAGGGAGGCTGCTGTGATCCCCGATGCAGATGTCAGGATGGAGCCCGATGCCCTTGCGTCGCCGCGAAGTCTGCGGCTCCCGGCGAGAGAACCACCTGCTGCTCCGCCCGCTCTCCCCGGGCGTCCACGGCTCTTCCCGCGGAGGCGCGTCTGGCTCTTCTCGCCGCGTCCCCCACCGCCAGGCTGCGCTCCTCGCGGCTGCCCTTCTCCGGCTCTCAATGGCTCTTCATTCAGCCCGGCGTCGGGGGCGGGGGCTGCGGCCGTGAAGTCATCCCGGGAAAGCCGGCGCGGCCAATCGGAGCCCGAGGGCGGGCAGAGAGGGGCAGTCGCTAGGGCTTGAAAGGGGACCCGCCGCTGGATAAGGGTTGGCGGCGGCCGTTGCCAGGCGGAAAGCAACGGAGCATGCGCCCTCGCGCCTTTTGTGTGGCGGGGGCTGCGGCTGCGGCGGATGGTTTGCAGCCCATCGATTTCACGCTGCTGGAGTTCACTGGCTGTAGGATGTTCAGCACCATTCAATCACAGAATCATGGGATTGTAGAGTTGGAAGGGACCACGAGGGTCATCTAAGGCCAGCTCCCTTTAGTGCAAGGATCTTTTGTCCAACGTGGGGCTCGAACCCACAAACCTCAAATAAAGAGTCTCATGCTCTACTGACTCAGCTACCCTGTTGCAGGTATTAACTTAACTCCAGAGGAATAGCATGGTAGAACGTGGAGTTAAGTCCTTATGGAGAAACTAACAAGGCATCTTAAAGCGACCAGGAAGACAAAGACCAAAGATGTTTTTGAAACTGCATAGCGCATCTTTATTCAGTGCACTGGAAAGGACAATGCTGACCCCTCACCACCAGCTACCCATGGCTCATTTTGCATTTTGGGACAGCTTGTTAAGACGGAGGGTAGAAGACACCAAACTGATGCAATCATATCTAAACTACAGTGGATGCTCGGGTTGTGAACGTGATCCGTGCAGGATGCACGTTCGCAACCAGCAGCGGTGCGTCTGCGCACGCACGGGTTGCGATTCAGCGCTTCTGCGCATGCATGACCCCCAAAACCCAGAAGTAACCTGTTCCGGTACTTCCGGGTTTCGGCAGGTCCATAACCAGAAAAAATGCAACCTGAAGCATCTGTAACCCTAGGTATGACTGTACTTACAAAAAAAAAATTATTGGTTTTCACAACATTATAAACAAACACATAAGACAAATAAACATAAATCATAGCCTTATTGAAAATTACACTTATTAACATTGTTAAGTGACTTCCTCGCTTCCCCTTGGTTGAATTTCATTGCATATCCTTTTAGCGGTTTTCCAAATCACAGTTCTTACAAAATTTAACTTAAACATTAACATCCTTAGATCTTCACATTATGAAATTAAACATATTAATTCATCACTTAAATAAAATCCTAAGCCAATTAAGTATCTGCAAGCTGTTTTCAGTTAATTTAACTTAACACATTTAACTAAGTAATCATTAAATTTAATCCACTCTTCCTGATACTCCTCCTCCTTCTGGTCGCAGACTCTTCCGGTTAGGTCGGCTAGCTCCAAAAAATCCATCATCTTCATCTGTCATTCTTCTATCGTTGGTAATTCTTCGGTTTTCCACTTTTTAGCTAACAAAATACGAGCAGCAGTTGTGGCATACAAAAATAATTTTACATCTGTACTTACTGTACTTACAAACTTTATGTTTGTATTATTTACATCAGGCACAACCAACAGGTAGATCTACCGGTAGATCAGTGGACATCTGTGGTAGATCACAGGCTCCCCTCAAAGAAGCTCAACAACTTTGCCCTGCACACCTAAAACAGGGATTTCCTTCCTAAAAAAACTCAACAACTTAGACCTGAAGCCCAAATAAGGGGATAGAACGCTGCCAGTTTTTAACTCTGTGAGTAGATCGCAGTCTTTTGGGAGTTGGTCACCCCTGATTTACATTATCATAGAAGAGCTCCTCAGGGTCATCTTGTCCAGCTCCCTGCAATGAATGCAGGAATTGCAACTTGACCATACATGACAGATGGCCATCCAACATCTGCTTAAAAACCTCCAAGGAAGGAGAATATACCCCTCCTGAGGGAGACCATTCCACTGTTGAACAGCTCTTACTTTCAGAAAGTTATTCCTGATGTTTTCTTGAAATCTCCTTTCTTCTTATAACTTGTATATAAATGAAATGTTTCTTGGAGGGTTGAGGATATATGAGGATTGTGATACGGCTTTTTGGTAACTGAAAAATAAAGTATTTTAATACCATGTGTCTGGTGGGATTGCAGTGTGCACAGGTGCCAAATGTCCGGGTGGAAAGAATGCCTTCCAACACAATTCTGTGCATGTTTAGTCAGAAGTAAGTGACATTGAGTTCAATGGCATTTACACCCAGTTAAATACATATAGGATTGCAGCCTTTGAACTTCGGGCAGAGGTCGCTCTGTTTGTTTATTTTAATTGTTTTTTATACTGCTTTTCCAAAATCAGCAGCAGCCTCTCAAAGCAGTGCCCCAAAAAATCAAGAGATCACATTCTCAACTAAACTCATTAAAAATCCATTTTAAAAAAACAATGATTATATAAAAGCACGTAGAAAAGGAGTGGGCATGTTGGCTTATTTATATACTGCTTTGGGGCTGAAAGGCTCCCAATATGTTGAGCATATGCAACCAAACACCAAGAAAGAGACAATAAAATGTTGTAAATATATGAATATATAATTTAAGTGCCTACACATGAGTGTGCAGTGAAAGTGTGATGGACCTTTAATATATAAGCCATAAGAATATATATAAGCCATAAGAATATACAACAACAGAAATACTTCACCATAGGAGGACAAGTAGCCTGAGAAAGCTAGAAACTTGAAAATATTTTTTACACACACACACATATTATATAAACACCAACTAGAAGAATTAATGATGTTACTGAAGGTGCACTGAAATGAAGGTTTTATCCTGTCTTTGTAAATAACAGGGAGGAAGCCCAATGAGCATCTGGTGGGAGGCCATTCTAAGGTTCTGGGGCCACAACAGATAAGGTCCTGCTTCTTGAAAAGAACAGCTTCACCTCCATGTGCAGGAGAGTCTGAAATGACCTCATTGAATGCATGTTAAATGTTGAGAGGGCTAAATGGGAGGGGATCAGCCCTGAGATAATCAGAATCCAGGTCACTGAGGCCTTTTGGATGTCAAAGCAGCACCTTGAGTTGAGTTTGGAAGGAGCTGGAAACTATTGTAATGTTTCAAAACATCTAATAGGAAAATGCTGGCTTGAGCCCACCATAATCAAACAGCATCACTTGGCACTAGGACACCCCCACAAAGACACCGTTGTAGCGATCCAGAATGAAAGCTCACCCAAGCAAGGATAGCAGTGGCTAGGTCTCTTGTCTTTCAGTAGCGGACATATCATTTAGTATACACTGCTCAATATTCAGAATTTCTAAGCGGTGTACATGTCATTATTTTTTTTTTAAAAAAATAGCACACCAATTTTGCTTGGTGTTTGCAAAGAGAGCTGAGAATCAGCTGAGCAAATAGTGATATTCTGAATATCTGGTACTGTCAGTCTGTTTGTTTTTATACAACTTTTTATCCATGTCTTGCTCCTATGCTTACATCCATGCTCTGAAAAGCTGTTCCTGTTGATTTCTGTAGTTTATATCAGCCCATGGTTCAAAGGCACAAAAGCAGGCAGACTGCTCCAACCACCAGTTTCCCTCCCCGCCAAGGCAAGATGGCTCAGAATTCTTCCTGCTTGGAGGGAAGAAGGGCAAAATATATTTTTTTAAAAAACTTGCAATCCATGTTTTCTGCAAAGTGGGTGCCTTATATTTCCATTCTTTCCCCCATGCTTCCATCGCTGTATGATTTCCAGACACAGCCATATTAAATGGATCGTTTGTACAACATTTGCCAGAAAGGAGCATTACATATATTTGTTACTCAACACTTGAAAGCCACTACTTCTGCACAGCCTTTAAAAATCAAGACTCGGAATAAACTCAGAACAGATCATCTCGCAGGTGAGATTATCCTATGTTTGTTTCCAAGCATTTAAATTTACCCTATGGGAGGTGAACAGTCTGATGCACAACACATATAGGCACATTTTGCACCATCAAAAGCATTTCAACAGTTAGCTGGAAGAAAGGAGACAAACAGATTTGATTCATCTCCTTGCTCTCATATTTTGTTGTGTCAACTCCTTCCTTTAATGTGGGAACGAAGCAGTAGAGCTGTGGCAGGCTTCCTAGAAAAAGAGAGGCGTCATTTAGTCAACAGCTGCTGAAGCCCTTCTCTAAGAATGCAAGCCCTCTCCTAGCACAGTCCAGTGGACTCTCAGCATCTGAGTGTGAGCAGTCACTGGTCAGGGTTTATGGTGTCACATATAAATAAGCAAGCTTTGTTTCCGAACATTTCCTGAAGGCCGGTTTCCCACTCTTGTCTCTCTCTCTCTCTCTTTTTTTTTTTTTTACCCTCCCTCAAAGTTCACCCAGAAAACCTGGCTGCCAATCAAAAGCACCAGCTGTCCTCAGAAGATGAGCATTGCTCACCCAGGAAACTCAAAAGCAGTGTAGGCACAATTGCATCATATGCTTCCATTTGCGTGGAGGGATCTCTGCCTAGCGATTCTGTGTGACTCAAACCTCAGATAGAAAATAAGATGGAGCCTTAGCCTTCAGTTGGTTTTCCCAGCAGCAGGCAGGTTTCCTTGGTGTGTCACAAAGAGAAGAAGCCCCCCAATCCTTTGCCCCAATCATTTCCAGTTGCTATCAAAAGGAGGAATTAGGATTATTCTATTGTCATTTTACCTTTTGGAATGTCTTAAATTTTTGTTATTGATTTTTCTTAGTGATGATTATCTTGTTTTCTGTTTTTTGTAAACTACATTGAGGGTTTTTTTTTATTTTACAATCAAGTGTACCTTGGGTTAAGAACTTAATTCGTTCTGGAGGTCTGTCCTTAACCTGAAACTATTCTTAACCTGAAGCACCACTTTAGCTAATGGGGCCTCCTGCTGCACTGCCGCTGCATGATTTCTGTTCTCATCCTGAGGCAAAGTTCTTAACCTGGGGTAATATTTCTGGGTTAGCGGAGTCTGTAACCTGAAGTGTATGTAACCTGAAGCGTATGTATCCCAAGGTACCACTGTGTGTGTGTGTGTGTGTATGTGTGTGTGTGAAAAAGATGTGCTTGGAATTGTAAAATACTCTGTATGCCCCAAGATGTTCAGACTTGACAGTGAGCCCTATAAAATGGATAGGCTCTGTGTATACCAACTTGAGTTCCTTGGAGAAAGGGCAGGATGCAAATTACCATACATTTACAGTATCATCAGTATACACCAGAGAGGAGGAACCTTTTTGGCCCAGCAGCCCAGGCAGGCAGAGAGTCCGTCCACATAGGTGAACTTTGACATGGTGGGAGGGATAACCTACATGTCAATTTCCTGCTGTCATTATGTCTGACAGGCTGGTTCTCCAAAGATCAGATTGGCTCAGGGTATTTTGGAGAGGTTCTACTTTGGCTTTGACAAATAAAAAATAAACAAATAGCTCAATTGGTAGAGAATGAGACTCTAAATCCCAGAGTTGTGGGTTCGAGTCCCACCCTGGGTGAAAGATTCCTGCATTGCAGGGGGTTGGACTAGATGATCCTTTGAGGCACCTTCCAACTCTTCAGTTGTATGACTCTATTATTCTGGGAAACCTTAAATCTGTCCCAATTCAATTCTTGATTTGGAATTCATTCAAAACTTTAGCGCACCCTACCTTAAACCATAGGGACAAGGGTGGCGCTGTGGGTTAAACCACAGAGCCTAGGACTTGCCGATCAGAAGGTCAGTGGTTCGAATCCCCGCGACGGGGTGAGCTCCTGTTGCTCAGTCCCAGCTCCTGCCCACCTAGCAGCTGGAAAGCACATCAAAGTGCAAGTAGATAAATAGGTACCACTCTGGCGGGAAGGTAAACGGCGTTTCCGTGCACTGCTCTGGTTCGCCAGAAGCAGCTTAGTCATGCTGGCCACATGACCCAGAAGCTGTACGCCGGCTCCCTCAGCCAATAAAGCGAGATGAGCGCCGCAACCCCAGAGTCGGTCATGACTGGACCTAATGGTCAGGGGTCCCTTTACCTTTACCTTAAACCATAGGTTTGGACAGTGCTTTTTTCTGGGGGGGATGCAGGGGTATGCATACCCCTAAACATTTTGTGAATCTTTGTACTTTTGTCCATTTACTGTATTTATTTTCCCCGATTTAAACTATAAAATGGTAATTTTCTTGAGTCAAAATGAGAGTACCCCTAAACATTTTTTAAGAAAAAAAGCACTGGGTTTGGATAGAAATTGGTTTGTACCATTAAAGAAATAAGTTGTGTTCCGTTGGCTGTTCGGTGGCTTTTGACAAAGCATTCCCCTCAGTCAATGTTCTGTTTGTAAATGGCAGTAATAATGGTCTACCTCATGAGCTTGATAGGAGTGAGAAAACTGAGAATAAGTGAAGTAACATTATTACCCTAAGCCCTGGGAATAAACTGTGCTATAAATCTTGCTGTTGAGAAATAAAGATCTCTATTGCTTCTGAGAACATGGAAGCAGATCTTGAGTCATAGACCTCTTGCTGCTTTCACTGCATCACCTGCCAATATTGTTAGATGGAAGTGGTCCAAATGCCTTAAAGTACAAAGACTTCTCTCTGTTACCACAGTGTCCAGGAGCAGATTCAAGCTATCGAGATTCATGCAATCGGCTCTTGAAAGCTTAATGCCTGTTGCTAGTAGGTACATGGGGTTTGAGCTGCCTAAAGTTTCTGGCCGCGTGATTAAATTTGGTGATACCACACCTCCACAGTTCTCTAGATTTTTGAGCAGTTGATAGAGGCGATAAGTCTTTAGCTGGAGATTCAGATGCCTTGCTAATGCAGTTAAATGTGTCTCTCTTTTTAATAACTTCTGCCGACTCCTGAACCTTTGCAGTCTTTCTCCCCAAAACTCCCTCTCTTCAGAGGCCCGGTAGGTGACTTCCTCTGTGATATCTGCTTAGCATTTGAGCTCCCTTCCCACCCACCCCCGGTAAATTCAGTCGTTAACATAAATGAATAAAAATGCACAGAAATAAAGCCTACCTTTGGAATAGACATCCCTGTAATTGCACAACTGGGCACAGATTCTGCTTTTCAAAATTCTGAGTATCTAGGATTTTTGATACTTGCTTTTAAAAATGGAAGGAAAATCTGAATGCATGCAGGACGCTACAGTTAAGACCTCGGAACAGACGCCAACACCTTTTCCAGCTTCTTTGGGGTCATCTCTGTGGCATTTTAGTCCTGCAATGCACTGCATTTCTGTAGGAATCCAAGCCCAGGTTAAAGAAACTGCATTGCCTGCTTTGACTCCAAATCTAGTTAAATTGTTGGCATGTGGGGAGTTTTTCTTCTCCTTCATGTCTCTGCCACGCAGACACTTATGTCTCATATCCCTATCCTCCATATTCAACTAATGCCACCGCTTTTGCCGTATTCTCTCCAGATTGACAATCTTTGAAGCAAAACAGAGATGGCAGTTCAGCAGCTTCCTGTCAGATGGCACAGCAGGTTCCAACTTTGATTGTTACTCAGTTACTCGTGGCATTCAGTTTCCAGGGGAAAGAAATCCCAATCAGTGCAATCTGATTGGCTGAATTCATTATCTGACAGTCTGGAAATGGAAGTGTAGTTTTGTTAAGAGCGTTAAAAGGGTGACCCTTATTCCCCTCACAGAGCTTCCAGTTTCCAGAGTTCCCTGGAAAGAGGGGTTGACTGTTAAGCCACTCTAGAAATTTATGACGACAAAAAGTAGTTTCAATGTTCTTCTTGTGTACACGCCAGAGTGTTGAGGTGCATGCAGGCCACACAGATCCAATTTTTCACTTTGTGCACATTCATCCATACATGGCTCCTTTCAATTTAAGGGCTCATCCAGACCTGAGCTAGTCCTGTACCTGGAAAACACAGGTCCAAGAGGTTTTCTGCTTGCTTTCTAGGCACGGGTCTGCTTTGTTAGGTAGATATAATATAAATCACAATATAAATCACAATATAAATCACCATATGCTTTCCCCTGGAAAACCCACTCTTTAGCAATAAATCGGAGCGGAGCAAATGTCAATCCAGAGAAAACCCGATTGACGTTTGCTCTGATTCAGCAATAGAGATTGGGTTTACCCAAGAGAAAACGGCAAACCAACGGTGAGTCTGGATGAGTCCTCGTGCTATCTCAGTGTTTTTCATCCTCACTAGTGGGCAGTGCCTGATGGGATATGTATTTGCACTGTGTGTTGCGGTCCCCTCCCCTCAATTAGTCCTTCCCACACCCTCCCCATCTGCGATCCATTTTGGGAATGTGCACGGGTATTTGTTTACCTGTGCATGATCAATTCTGCTTTTTCTTTTTTAAAAAAAGGAGATAAATGTTTGCCGGTATACCAGATTTGCACGGGTTAAAGATACCCCCCCCCAAAAAAAGTGTGTGTTGTACCAACCACACCAGCAGCCTGCTAAGGAGCACCTCACCAATGGAGGTGTCATTGGAGATGGCACCCAGTATAATATCACCACACATGGGGTTTTTTTAAAAAAAAATCCTGCCCACGCAATATGCTTCAGTATGTAACATGCAGTTTTATGGTGGATCTCCCTCCCTTATTGCATTATCCATGGATCAGGAGATTTTGAATTAAATTGTGGGAAAAGTGCAGGCTGCCATGACTGCATCCGACTTTCTTGGCAAGTATCCATGCAAGTATATGTTGAATTTTATTGATCTGTGGTCATTATTTTAACTCAGTTCAGTTCATGTTGTACAGCCAGGCATCCTACTGAGGATGACCAAGCATTAAAAACGCAAATGCATCCTAAGTGCAGACTTATAGCCACACAAAAGCACACACAAAGACGCATGCCAGAGGCACAGCCCCAGGCTGTTGTTGCTGAAGATATAGGCCACAGACAATTCAAGGAGCTTTGGTGTTCTGCCTAGGCTTCACCTACAACACTTGCCTCTGCCAAAAAAAGCTGCATGTCCAATTGAGGGGCAGGAGATTTCCTTGGGAGTAATGAGGGCTGAGTTTTCCTTCCCCCAGTTTCTGCCGCACCAGGAGAGGAGACAAAGCAATCATTGTTGTGAACCATTCGGAACCATTCTATACATTACACCTGATAGTGGAGTAAAGTGGTAGACTTTTCAACTCTACCATTTCAGATTACAGATGGGGGAATATTTTTGATCAGTCCCCTGTCTAAGAAACTCCAAGCATTTAATAAACACTTAGCAGTGGCCAGAGGATTGGAGAAGATCAGTCTACATCCCAATCCCAAAGAAGGGCAGTGCCAAAGAATGCTCCAACTACCGCACAATTCCACTCATTTCACAAGCTAGCAAGGTTATGCTTAAAATTCTACAAGGCAGGCTTAAGCAGTATGTGGACCGAGAACTCCCAGAAGTGCAAGCTGGATTTCAAAGGGGCAGAGGAAGCAGAGACCAAATTGCAAACATGCACTGTATTATGGAGAAAGCTAGAGAGTTCCAGAAAAACATTTACTTCTGCTTCATTGACTATGCAAAAGCCGTTGATTGTGTCGACCACAGCAAACTATGACAAGTTTTTAAAGAAATGGGAGTGCCTGATCACCTCATCTGTCTCATAAGAAATCTCTATGTGGGACAAGAAGCTACAGTTAGAACTGGATATGGAACAACTGATTGGTTCAAAATTGGGAAAGGAGTACGGCAAGGCTGTATATTGTCTCCCTGCTTATTTAACTTATATGCAGAATTCATCATGCGAAAGGCTGGGCTGGATGAATCCCAAGCCGGAATTAAGATTGCCAGAAGAAATATCAACAACCTCAGATATGCAGATGTCACAACCTTGATGGCAGAAAGTGAGGAGCAATTAAAGAACCTTTTAATGAGGGTGAAAGAGGAGAGCACAAAATATGGTCTGAAGCTCAACATCAAAAAAACCGAAGATCATGGCCACTGGTCCCATTACCTCCTGGCAAATAGAAGGGGAAGAAATTGAGGCAGTGAGAGATTTTACTTTCTTGGGCTCCATGATTACTGCAGATGGTGACAGCAGTCATGAAATTAAAAGATGCCTGCTTCTTGGGAGAAAAGCAATTAGAAACCTAGACAGCATCTTAAAAAGCAGAGACATCACCTTGCCAACAAAGGTCCGTATAGTTAAAGCCATGGTTTTCCGAACAGTGATGTATGGAAGTGAGAGCTGGACCATAAAGAAGGCTGATCGCCAAAGAACTGATGCTTTTGAATTCTGGTGCTGGAGGAGACTCTTGAGAGTCCCATGGACTACAAGATGATCCATCCTATCCATTCTGAAGGAAATCAGCCCTGAGTGCTTACTGGAAGGACAGATCCTGAAGCTGAGGCTCCAATACTTTGGCCACATCATGAGAAGAGAAGACTAACTGGAAAAGACCCTGATATTGGGAAAGATTGAGGGCACAAGGAGAAGGGGACGACAGAGGACGAGATGGCTGGACAGTGTTCTCAAAGCTACGAACATGAGTTTGACTAAGCTGCGGGAGGCGGTGGAAGACAGGAGTGCCTGGTGTGCTCTGGTCCATGG